TTGTGTTGTACAAAATGTTTCCTCTGGTCACATGACCAAAACATAAAAGTGATATTTGATCATCAGACTCTTAGACTGCGCACAGGTGGATCTGACAGATTATGTGGATTCTGAAGGAAATGTTTTGGATTTCAAAGTAAAAGCTGTGAATACATACAGCACACCTCTTCAACAGAAACAATTAAAATACCAGCAGCAAATAAAATAAAGGCAAAGATGAAGCTCATGGGCTCTCACTCACATGGGTCATTTAATGCAAGGATGTGTCTATGGGGTGGGCCTGGGGGGCTTAGACCCACCCAATTAATGCCAAGTCCCATCCACTCCAATCAAAATCATCCAATCAAACTGTCTTACTTCCATCCTGCATGTGTAGTTTTCTGCTGAAGTCATGGAATGATTATAGTATAAAGGTCTATTCTCAGTGTTTTAGACGTTCGCTTCGTGAAGTTTCAACAACCAAAGATTTTACTTTAATTAAACCTAATTTTTAATCTGGTAATAATATGTTGCCATTCTGTGAGAAATTAAACTGAAATGCAGTTTGGCAAAACATAACAAAGGACAAACTACTGTAAATCTCAGGTGCAATGAGTTATCTGAGAGGCAGTTGTCTTCTCATCCTGGATTCATCAGTGGACGGATTGTGAGTGGAAACCACCACCTGGTTCCTCGGTTGGTTATTCAGAGGAATGCTCAGCTGCTGCTCATTTCATCAACATGCACATAAGATGAGACATTAAACACAGATTTAATTAATTATTGTACAAATAAACAGAGTGAAATAGATGAAATGTACCATCTGCTGCAGGAGCAACATTGGGATGAGCTTGAAGGAGCAGGTAAGATTCCTGATCTCTGAATGGTTTATGTATCCAATCTTCTGCTGCAGTAATCCTCCTGATATGTTTTAATTGAAATCTGCTCGTTAAACTCGCCAAAGACCAGCAAACAGGAGCTTAGAGCATTAATTATGCAGCAACCTTCATGTTGTCCAGATGTTTGTCCCAAAGCTCTGAAATAAAACATTTTCATTACATCAAACCAGGAACAGTTTGCTCTGACTTTAGGCAGCGCTGTGTCTCACGGTGCAGCTTTAAAAACACAGAAACAGAATATTAAAGGTATTTATTGAAGTGAGTGCTAATCCCAGTCCTGTCTGGATCCACAGCTCAGATTCAAAACAGAACCATGATCATTTATATATATATATACATATATATATACACTACAATAAACACTTTAATGTTTCTGTCTGAATGTGACCTGCTTTGGACCTTAATTGTTGGTATTTTTATATTATCTGTTATTTTTATATCTTGTATGATTTATAGAAACTCTGGTACAACAATTTCCTGCAGGATCAATAAATTTCTATCTTATCTTATCTTATCTTATCTTATCTTATCTTATCTTATCTTA